ATTGAAAATCTAAATTTGAATTATAAATAAAATGGAGTCCAATCTATTGCTAAGAGTAAAAAGCGTATTTTCTTTTCTCTAAACTAAATGACTTGAAAAACAAACCAAGAGCATTCAGGGATCTTTGGATTAAACATCTCTCAAAGGCTTCTAATACCATCAGTTTTGGGGGTTAGAATTTCAATATGTTAATTTTTTTAGGGGGACACAAATATTCAGACCATAGCAATAAGGAATAAGTGTTGGACTTAGGTACCTCAGACTGAATTCTACTTCTAACATTTAACTACTCAGTTATTTAAATTACTCTCTATAAATCTTAGTTTCTATATATTCAAAATGGGGTAAATAATATGTACTTCACTATGTTGCTGACAGGATTGGATAACAAATTGTGTGGGAAAGTAATAAGCAAATATATAGTCTAAATACAAAGACATTAATATAGGAGATGAGATCTGCATTTTATTTGCATGCCAAATTCCAATCATATTTGAAGTAGATAAAAATATTTAACCCATGTCACAGATTTCAAAATAAAACATCAAAACTATTTGTTCTTGAATTTTAGATTCTTTGAATTTTATGATTCATCCATCTTCTGAATATTTGTATAGCTCACTAATGTCCAAGAGATAACAAAGTTCTTAAGTAAGATTTCTGAAGTTTGGAAAGAAACAAAATGCTAACTCCAAAAGAAACCTAAAAATAAAACAAGACAAGAGAGGAAAAGCATATTTTCAGAATAAAATTCACATGAATAAAAAAATACCAAGTCCAAAAACTCTGACTGGAATATATTCTAGGAACATGGAGGTTGAGTTTTCAATAAGAAGAAAATGTGAATCTATGCTGGTTGTTAATTTAATCTTTGATATTTAATATCTTCTAGTGCCTTACTATTTATTAACACATTTAGTTCTCAGAACACCCTTAGAGGGTAGTTGTTCCAACTTGACAGGTGAGGAAACATAAACCTAGAAGGTTAAGTGACTTGCCACAAATAGACATATGACACAGAGACAAGACTGTCTGACCCCATTTGTCCTGGTTTTTAGCTATAGAGTTTACTATGTGCTATTTATTATATTATCTCCCAATTTACATTCTAGGGACTTATGAGAACCTCTTTAAACCTACTGTCTGTCCTCAAACAGATAGAGCACATAACCCTATTCATGAACATATTCTCTTTGCCTGGAAACTTCTTGCTCCACATATCCATAAGGCACACCCCTTCTTTCCTTTTACTTCCCATGCAGACTACACCTCCCAAGAGCACTTCCTTGACCACCCTATTGTATGCTATCTTTATTCCTAATATGTGTGTATGCTTTCAAATAATGCTTACTGCTCTTCATGTCATATTATAGGTTTATTGGCTTTATTCTATCTTTCCCATTATTTTGATAAACAATGCATGAACTGAGTGGTATACTGAAAACACTTAAGTGTGTTGAATGAGTAGGTGGTCATGAGCCAAATGTTATGCAAGCAGCTTTGAATATACCATTTTGTTTATTAAAACAATCCTCTGGACATGGATATCATTATTCTGCTTTCACACATAAGGAAACTGATTTAAATGTGTCAAATAAATTTAACAGATGACTGTAAGTATTTAATATCTGAGTCAGGATTGAATTCAGACCCATAATTTCAGAGTTCCAGCTTTTCCCATTGCGTTGCTGCCTTTCTCCTTATTTGAAATGAAAAGTCAGGAAAATGAAGGTTTTATCTCTGCTGCAAGCCATTATTGTATAGCATGACAATATGTTTTAGAGTAAGATACCATTAAAGTAAGTCTGTAGTTTTGCAAGGATGTTTCTCCAAACTATTACATCAAAGCTCTGATTGTTTTCTTCTGATATACTTTCATCTCTCTTAGTAACTCTACTGAGATATGCAGTTTAAGATCTTCATTAAAAAATAATGTGCAATTTCTTGAATCTAGGGACTTTCAGAGGCATATTCATCCTTAACCCTCTGAGCCCCAGGGCCAAGTCAACTGTAAGCCTTTTATAACAGAATTAAAAGTCTATCCCCCAAGTGGCCAAAGCTATTTCTGTGCTCTATTTCATGAAAAATAAATATTTCTTTTCATTTTATTCTTGCAAATTTATTTTATGAAGCTTTTATAGTCCAAATAAATATAATTATGATATTATCTTGGTACTTTCTTAAAAGTGTTTCATTGATTGGCTCTGAACTCATGTTTTAGGAACAGGCAAATATCATCTTTCATGTATTAGAATGCATCTTTGGTTTAAGATAATAGTCATGTGATGTAATAAGTGTAGAGGTGGTCTGACAAAAAGGATTTCTGTGGCTATAGTTCTTCAGATGGAATGTGAAGCTAATGCATTCGAATAACTTTTGCATTATTTCTAATAAAACTTGTGCTAAATTGAATATTCTTAAGTCTATATAGAGTTTTAAAAAATGCATTGATGTGTGAGATTGATTCTCATAAGTGAATATTCAGTAGCTCATTTAGAAATGCACATTTCCAGAGTTTGGAAATACGCATTATTTATGTGAATGGTGAATACAATAAGATCAGAACACTGTGTTCTATCAGTAGTTGTTGCCTTTGGATGAAGATATATTTGTTTGGATGCATAAACAATTTGATTGATTATAGGGTTCTGAACAACCTGTTACATGTGAGATATTATATAAAACTAGAGGCCTGGTGCCTGAAACTCATGCACAGGGGTTGAGGGTGTCCCTCAGTCCAACCTGCACCCTCTCTAATATGGGACCCCTTGAGGGATGTCCAACCATCCATTTAGACCTGATCTCGGTGGCCATTGGACATCCATCTCACAATCCAGGACTGCTGGTTCCCAAGCGCTCGCCTGCCTCTACCTGATTGCCCCTAACCAATTCTGCTTGCCAGCCTGATTGATGCCTAACTGCTCCCTATCTGCTTGCCCCTAACTGCCCTCCCCTGCAGGCTTTATTGCCCCCACCTGCTCTCCCCTGTAGACCTGGTCCCTCCCAACTTTCCTTCCCTGCTGGCCATCTTGTGGTGGCCATCTTGTGTCCACATGGGGGCAGCCATCTTTGACCACACAGGGGCAGCCATCTTGTGTGTTGGAGTGATGATCAATCTGCATAGTATACTTTTATTTGATAGGATAGAGGCCTGTGCACAGGTGGGGGCCAACTGGTTTGCCCTAAAGGGTGTCCCGGATCAGGGTGGGGGTTCCCTTGGGGCGTGATGCAGCCTGAGCAAGGGGCCCGTATATATATATATATAATTAGAATTATAGCCCCAAAAGTCATGAGATAGATAAAGGGAGTTAAATAGAAGTGTTCTAATGTCTATGCATTTTTTGAGAAATGACAAAGTACCAATATATTTATTTAATTTTTAACTTTTTAATAAAATTTATTGGGATGGAATTAACAGAAGACAAAATACCAATTTATTAAACTCAAATAAGTTTGATAATCACTAAGCAAAGATCAAAGTATGCATAATAACATTACAGGGAAATAGAAATAACACAAAAACAAAAGAAAACAATTGATCTGTCTGAAAGGTGAGGCCGAAATAACACTTGTTCTCTATATATGGGTCTGTTTCTGATATGTTTAATTTATTTTTTTGTTTTATTTTTCTTTCTTTTTATTTTTTTAAAAATTCTACATATAAGTGAAATTTTACAGTATTTGTCTCTCTTTGACTTGTTTCACTTTACATCCAGGTATATCCATGTCTGCAGAAATGGCAAGATTTTATTATTTTTATTGATGAGTTTTAATCCATTATATTTTCTTTGTGTTCTTTATTAGTTCATTTATAAATGGACATCTAGGTTGCTTCTATATTTCGGCTATTCTAAGTAATGCTGCAGTGATATAGGGGTGCATATACCTTTTTAAATTAATGTTTTGGTTTTTAAAGATAAATTATCAGAAGTGGAATTGTTGTGTCACATAGCAGCTCTATTTTTAATTATTTGAGGCATTTTCATACAGTGGCTGCACCAGTGTACATTTCTGCCAACAGTGCAAGAGGGTCCCCTTTTCTTTACATCCTCACCAGGACTTGTTATTTGTTAAGTCACTATGATAATTCTGACTCTTGTGAGATGATATCTCATTATGGTTTTAATTTGCATTTCCCTGCAGATTAATGACCTTGAGTTTTTCATATGCTGGATCACAATTTGTGTGTCATCTTCAGAGACATGCAAGATTGTTTGTATTTTAAAGATCAGTTTACTTATTTGTTGTTGAGTTACTTTAGAGTCCTTATATACTTTGGATATTAACTCCTTATCAAATATATGATTTTCAAATATTTTTTTCCCATTTTATAGGTATTCTTTTCATTTTGTTCATTGTTTTTTGTTTGTTTGTTTGTTTTTGCTGTGCTGAAGCTTTTGCTGTTGTTGTTGTTTAATTCACCTTTCAAGCTCCACAATTATAGTCATTTTTTAATAAGCAGCAGGGCTAGTCTTATAATCCAGACCCAGGAAATATCATTTAGGATAAATTTCCTTCCAAATTAAAACATTCCTCTGATGGGCTGCCCAGTGGAATAGAGTTGCATTCTCTGACTGCCCTTAGCCCCACCCAGCTGATTTTTTGTATGCATGAATGTGAATGAGAATTTATAATACCAAGTTGTTAAAAGCATCTCTGCAGCCTTCTCTATGTCTTCACTTAGTCCATTTTACTTCTCACTGCAGCCTCTCTGAGATGGGGTTAGTGCTGTCACTTAAAGGCAGCACTGAATCTTCAAGAAAAACAACTCTAAAACTCATCCATCTTATTGGAGGAGTCGGTTGCTTAGGAAAGGAGTGAGTACAGAAAACTGAGAACCAGCTGTGCCTATTTTATCTCTTTTTAGAAGTCCAAGTGAAAATAATTACTGCAAAGCCTGGAGTTGTTACTGATTCTAACAGTGATACTTCTCTCTCCTATGATTTTTAAAATTTCAGTAGTGTGAACTTTGATTTACATAGCTCTCAATGAATTTTGCAATGTCAACTGTGAAGTTTGAACTGGATTATCTTTCTTCTGAAGACTTCAGACATGAGCATGCTTCGAACTCAGATTTTACTTTAACCTCTTTGACTGAATTCTCTGGTGATTCTAGTCAATTGGAACTTCAGCACTCTCATTCTGTTCCTGCTGGTAAGCTAAACCTTAGATGGATATTTTTTAGTATCTTAACTTACTTCTTTAATGTCAGAAATGTAAAAAAGAAATCTTGATGTCACTTTTTGGTGGTATACTAGTAGCTGATGCTAATTTTAGTTTGTTTATTTTATTTTTCCCCAAAAAATATATAACTAGATTTTCCCAAAAAGAACAGAAGGTTTTTCCAATAGAGTGAAATATCAGAAAACAAATTCAGTGAACTCAGAAAAATATTAATAATGAAGTTGATTGTGGTTTTTTTAATACTCAAGATTTTCAATGCTTAGTTTTGTTAGGGATGGCTGATGAAATCAGGAATTTAATTCATAAACAGCAGAAAAAAGTTCTGCCATCTTCCATTCAACTCTTCTCTTTATGTTTCATTTTACGTAATTAAATGAAAGAGAATATGTTGTGTTTTGTTTTTGTTTTTTACCTTCTCATTAAGAACTGGAGAATATTCATTTTGGTTATGTGATTTTACGACTTAACTTAGATTCTATATATGACAGCATTGACAGATTTCAATGGGTAGAATTTCTATTTTGATACCTACAGGTGTTACTTATTATCCAGAATTGCAGTTTTCATTCTCATTCTGCAATTTTGAGTGAATAATGATATACATTAATAGTTTGCAGTTGTCAAAAAATTGTGTTTTGTTTATAATGAACATCTCTGATATATGGATAATGAATTAATTGTGCTGTGTAGAATAATTCTGTAAAATAAATACGTTAAATATTGTTCAAAATAAAAATTCATCATTATTTAATTGTTTATCTTTCCTCATTTTTTAAAAAAGGCAATGTAATATTAATGTAAAAGTTAGCAAAACTTTATAGCTCTGGATGTTACTGGATGTTAACTTTGTCCAATGAAAAGTACTTGTAGAAATAATGAATTCTATTTTGCAACCCCAGAATTCTTCTAAGAGAATTTGCCCACATTTATTTTTAAATGTTTTAAAAGAAGTTTTGCTGATTTGTTGTTTGTAGGTTATTTTGTGCTATATGACTTATTTCACAATATGGGCAGTTCTATAAACAGGTGGTATCACACCTTTTGTATATTTTCTTTCAACTGTAAGAAAAAAATCTTCATGTTATGTGATTGACATAGCTCATCCTGCCAGTCTTATTCAGGGTAGGACCATATGAACAGGGAGCATAGGATTTTTTAGCAAGGTAGTTCCCAAAAGCCAAGTATAGCCCTGGAAGCATTTGCATTAGACTGAACAGGTTGCTTGCAGTACATGAAGATTTAGGTTCCCATTCCAGTCCCTTTTATATATAATTAAGAAATGTAGATTTTAAAAGTGCTTTGTGTTACATACATATGCAGTAAAGGTGGAGAATTGATTTTTTTTTTTATCCGTGGTCATGATAGGTTCATCAACAAGGGTTTTGTACAATAATCTTCCCATTATGACATTCTCTTTAGATATTTTTAATCTTCACCTGAAAATATATTTTTATTAATTTTAGAGAGAAGAAGAAAGGGAGGAAGGAAGACAGTGATAGAGGGAGAATATGAGGGAGGAAGGCATAGAGAGAAAGAGAGAAACATCAGTGTTAAGATAAACTTTGATTTGTTGCCTCCTATACTAGTCCCTCTTGGGATTGAGCCTGCAACCTAGGTGTGCCTTGACCCAGAATGAACTTGCAACCTTTTGGTGTACAGAAGAATGCTCTAACAGAGCAACCTGGCCAAGGTCCAGATAATTTTTGATGATGGTAATCCATAATCAATTATAGCTTACTTCAGTAGCCTTTTGTATAGTGTATAGTGATCCATTTATATACTTCACAAAGTATTTTCCTAATTTTTATATTTATGTATTACCCTCAGGTGAATTCAGATTCAAAAGCTTCTATTTATTTGAATATTTTTCTTTATAAATTGAATTTATTGGGTGACATTGATTAATAAAATTTTACAGGTTTCAGTCAAACCCTTCTAAAAAGCCTTTCTTCTCATCCTTCATATAAAATATCTACTTTTCTATGAATTTGGATGCCAAGAGTGCCCATTTCTATGCCACTTACATCAATATGAAATGTTTATTTCCAGCATTTGATCTTACAGTTAAGTGTTTTATCTGTTAGATATTAGGTATAGATTTTATTGTAATTTTATTAAATAGAAAATGAACTCCTACAGGATAAGGGAGGTATTGTATTCTCTTTAATTCCCCAAAGTGCTTAGTGAACAGAAAAGAGCTGGGTTGCTTATTCCTGATATGACTTTACAAAGTTGGACCAGTTGATAGAAACCTTTACTTCCTTTATGGAATTTTTAAATATAACTCTCATCTCTTAATGGCTCGGCCTTGGGGCCTTCAACTCATTCTCTCTCAAGAAGTGCAATCTAGGTTCATATAATATGCATACTCTGACTGCCTTGGCAGAACTCAAAAGTTAAAACAACTATCATTTAAATGCCTGCTGAAAATATTCTATTAGACATTGAATATATAATCAAAATCATGAATTAAAAAGTGGCCTTTCTGATAACATACAAGGGAGTACTGATGGAAAGATTGCTAAGTGGTCATTGCATTACTGCATAATACCTAATGGAAGTCACTAAATTGGATAGAGATAGAGGAAGATACAGATATATAGATATTTTAAAGATTTCTGTGTATCATATTGTCCTGATACCAGATGAAAAAAAATTTATTCTGGGTTGTTGTTGGTTTTTTTATTTTTTTTAAATATACATTGATACCTTGGCTTATCCAATACTTTATACAAAAAAATCAAGACTTGTAGTAAAATATTGATGAGGTTCTCAGGTTGGCATAATGAGATATAGCCACAGTCTTCATTCATAAAGTTCCTTCTGGGAAGCAAATGACAAGGAGCTCTCTTTTAAGTACTGGGTGGGTTTTTATCTAAAGTATGGAATCAGGTAAGCTACCAATAAGTTATAGCCAATTATAGAACATGTACTTTACTGTAGCTTACTAATATTTTTTTTTCTTTTAAAGTACAACAGATTCAAGGTTCTCTTATAGTTAATCTCACTTTAAATCCAATATTTTTTAAAAGTGGGAGACAAAATAGTGAGGTACTGGTATACACTGTGAAATTAATCAAACCCTGCATATATGAAGTAGATATGATGGCAGTGGGTGTTCAGTGATTTTGATAAGATCAGTGATTTGTCTTAGATGCAGTGAGGCTGTGTTAGTTTTAAGCATTGACATTAAACAGGCATCTCAGGATATTAAGTTTTCAGAAGCAGGTGGGAATTTTACTTTAGGATTTGGACAAGAAAAGTTGATCTTTTTTGAGTGCTGGGAATTAAACTTTGCTATTTTATTCCTATCCCATATTAAAGTAGCTAATGAAAAGTCTTCCATGTGTTCATCTTTAAACAGGTAATCAAAGCTTTAGAAATGAGATACTTACTCTGAATGTTGAATAGTGCATTAAATAAGGAAGCAGATGTATCGGTGACAATCATGCATTATCTAAATTAACTTGACTAAATTGAACTTGTAGATGGGGAAAGCTAGATTCTTCTGAAGAATATGTGAGGTTGACCTAATCGGTTTGGCTCAGTGAATAGAGCTTCAGCCTGCGGACTCAAGGGTCCCAGGTTCGATTCAGGTCAAGGGCATGTACCTTGGTTGCAGGCATGTATCACTGGGGGGTGTACAGGAGGCAGCTGATCGATGTTTCTCTCTCATTGATGTTTCTAACTCTCTGTCCCTCTCCCTTCCAATCTGTAAAAAAAAAAATCAATAAAATATATATTTTAAAAATATGTGAGGTCAAGAAGCCTGTGTATATTATAATATCTACAACTCATGTAAGTAATTAGATGTAGAGGTCAACCTATAATTTTCTATATCTTACATTGTCACATCCTAAAGAGCCTTCTTCCTCCCAGGGGTTACCATGATAAGAGGCATGGCATGAACTTAATCACAGGACAGTTCTAGCTATGGCTCAGACACATGGTAGATTTTTAGAACTTGTCCAATTTACTTAGTACTTATCTGTCTATACTTAATGGGATATCCACTTTGCAGAGTTGAATATGAGGTTGAGAAATGTCTGAAAAAAATGCCTTTTGCAGGGAATGGATTTTGAATAAATATTTAATATATATGAGCTATCTTTCATATCTAATTTCTAGTGTTCTACTTATATACATTACTCCCGTTGGCCTCTCAATCCAAATATGTATTGCTATAAAGACAGGAGATAATAAATCTGAAAATCAAGTGTTTTCCAAATACACATATCATTGTGTGAGTCCCAATTCTTACAACTACATGACTTTTAGACCAAACTCCCTTGAAAGTGATTTATGATAAGTTCCAAAAGAAGACAAAGATCTGGGAGTATTGGTCTAAACATCTAAAGTAATAAAGAATCCTGGTCTTATCATTTGTTGGTTTATTTTCCATTAAAACTGAAGAACTTAACTTTCTTCTTTATCTGTCCTGTACATATTTTCTTTATAATTCATATCAGATTCCACAGTAGGCGAGCATAATTTAGTTTCATAGATTTTCCTTTCCATTGAACATTTGGTTTCAGTCACTGAAGTTTCAGGCTTCATTTCCAAGTCCACGATGGAGACAAGTCTCAAAGGAAAAGTATTTTAAGAACTGGCTAATTCTATAGCACAAGTTGCAAATAAAAAGTATTTAAAGAATTGGTGAATTGTGTAGCAAAGCCATGAGAGTGGGTTTCACATTAATTTCTATGTGCAAATGCTACGTATTTCCTAATACCTGACAAACACACATAAAACCATAGAGAGCTTAGTTATTTTTTCAGCTTGTTTTGCCTTATAAGTCAAAAGAATTCTTAACAGTCTAACTCCCATTCATTGTAGGGATTCTTTAAAAATTATTTTTTAAAAAGTAGAGTTTTAATAGTTCCATTAAATAAGTTACCAGATGAAACCAGTTTGGCTCAGTGGATAGAGTGTCAGTTTATGGACTGAAAGGTCCCAGGTTTGATTCCAGT